AGGGGAGGTATCTCAATAGGAAAAGTTGAGGAGGCGGATGAAAGTAGGGAAGTAAGTTTTACGTTCAGTCCAATTGTAAATTTCCGGAATTTTTTTTTGGGGGGGGAGGGGGTGGGGAGGGGTAAGAGGTGGCTCCTTTCTCGAACCGCGACTGCTGGCCAAGCTTGAAATGAGAATACAGTAAGATACTTTCTTGGTTTAATTAGCTTATACTCCTTTCCTGCCCTGGATTATGGAAATTAGACAAAGTGCTTGAATTTCTTATTAAGGCCGTCCTAACCTGATGAGAAATAAAGCGCATTGACCACTTTCAAAAATGGCTGCCGGATTAATATTCTTTTGCTTAAATTTAAATTAGCCTTTCTGGCCCCGCTTGAGATGATGTATTCTTTTGAATTTTGTACTGGAAAACGAGGCTAGAAAGGCTAATTTAAATTTAAACAAAAGAATATTAATCCGGCAGCCATTTATGAAAGTGGTTAATACAGCGATCATAAACCCACACTTTTTATATATACATTTGAAGTCTCTTTAAATTCTTTCAAATCAGCCCGAGTTCACTTTCGGCATATTTGCCCTTCAACAAAGGTTTTTTTTTAAATTTCTACGCACAGAACCATGGAAGAAGATGGAAAAAAAAAAGTAAGTCATGGAGACACATCAACATTCCTCCACTTTTATCGTGCTGTTTACTGATCGCGCTTTGCTTCACTGACTAAACGCCCAAAGCATGCCACAAAAAGTAGTTAATCTCTTGCCCAGATCCTGCCGTGTAATCGTAACCGAAAAGTAGGTTGGTCGTGAAGTTTGGGTACGAACTTTAGTATCAGCTTCTCATTAATTGCCAAAGTCGAATATACGGAAATCACGTGCCTGGACTGCAAGGATGTTTTCTCATCCGAAACTGCAAAGCGGAGGTGCCATAACAGATCGAAAAAATAGGCAGTTCAGACTGTATATGGCTACTGGTGCCGCAGTAGTCATGAATACCCTATTCCACAAGAGAAATATCATCAAAAAATATAGTAACTAATTGACACGCAACCAATAATTAGATAGTAACAAATAATCCGATTATTTGTTACTATCTAATTATTGTATGTTTGCGTAATAATAGTATTAACAATTATAACAAATAGTAACAATAATAATTCTAGTGTGTCCTCAATCGGAAATCGGCGACTAGTGTCCAAAATCTAAAATGGGACACTATTGTCCTAAATAAAAAATCGGCCACTAGTGTCCAGAATCTAAAATCGGCCACTAGCGTCCAGAATCCAAAATCGGCTTCTAGTGTCTTAAGTCAAAAATGATAATAATAATAATAATAATAATAATAATAATAATAATAATAACCCGTATTACGAGACCAAGGGTCAAGGCTTGTCAAAATGGAACACAGCTCCGCGGGGCAGGTTAAAGATGATGGAGTTATGGGCTGTGACCGAGAACGAGAAGACTTGGAAGCCATAGATGTGAGATTTAAACAATAATTCGAGCCAAGAAATAAAAAAAATGGAGGTCAAAATTTTAATTATGAAGAGGCCAGCCAAATTGACTCACGTTATGCTAATTATACTACACTGAGTCAAGATTTGCATACGACTACTACTTTGCAACAAATCCCAGGAGATAGCCCTGAACAAACGGAAGGACCAAACCAGACAACTCGGTTTCATTCCTGGCCGCTTTAGTGTCTGCAAACCAGAAAACATAAAGTGGGGTAAGCGGACAGACGGCAGCGAGATTGTTTTGCAGACTTCAGTCATAACGGATGCCGATAATGAGATTGCGACCTGGAAAAAAAATGTTTTTCTTGTCCCCTATGGTAACACAGGGAGAGACCTCATAGATCAAGTTACGTCGCACATTAATGACTGGAATAACGATGCTAACTGCCAACACATAGCTCTGAAAGCTGCCTTTGTGCTCCTTGCAGTAGGCCTTCAGAAGCCTGGTCCCAAGTGCAAAGCCAAAGAGCACCAGGAGCTGTTGTCAAAACGTCTTATACAGTGGAAAGACGGGGAAATCAACAAGTTGCTGCGCGAAGGTCGGATTATTTAAAGTCGAATAGGCAAATTCAGATCTACAGATCCACCTGATAAATCGAAAGTGTTCACCAAACTCGTGCTCGAGGGTCAGATAAATTCAGCACTTCGCTTCCTGAGCGAAAGTACTAGTGGTGGTGTATTACCGCTGACCGATGAAGTTATGGCGCAACTACAGCAAAAACACCCCAATCCTCAACCAGCCAAATTGGGCTCACTCCTGTTTGGGCCGATTGATGACGAGTTTCCTGAATCAGTTTACTCTGGGATCAACGGTGAAACGGTCAGACAAGCTGCTTTAAGAACAAAAGGTTCTGGGGTCCCTGTGGTGTTGACGCAAACGGCTTCAGACGAATGCTGGCTTGTAAATCGTTCAAACAGTCATCGAAGAAGCTGTGTGAGGCGATAGCTACAATGG